TACTATATATTATAGCTAATGCATGATTAATTAATTATAGTTGATTTGAAAGACTTCTAAAATTCATGTAGATAGTGCTTGACTATGCACTTCCTCAGGAATTTTAATTAAATGGAATTAATTGAATTAATGATTGAGTGAGCATAGTGGTAGAAGGACTTGGAGTCTGACCTCCCATAGTTCTGGTCTAGTGGTCCCTGGAGACTGTTTTGTGCACTCACCTGCCATAGGAGTCATTCTTGCGTGGATAGCCAGTTGAGACCCACATCTCCTTCAAATGAATTTATACAATGCTTTTTTCTTCTGTCCTTTCTCAAATGGCAAGAATTTAAAAGCAGTCAATTCTAAACAAAATAGTGTTTCCAATTATGAATTTGCTTTAAAATATAAAGGAAAATTTTAGTGTCAAACATGGTAGACTAAAATTCAAAAAAGAATAAAAAATACACCACAACTGCTTCAGAAGCAAGGGCTATTGATCTCATCTCCATTAGCTCATCAAACAGAAAGTGAAAGGAGAAAAATACATGTTCAAAGGGACCTGGTACTCAGGTAACAGGCAGCAGCTTCAAGTGAAAATGCCTAGCTGATTGAAAACATTTAAAGGAAGCAGTTATCTTGGTGTAGGAATCATTACTGTCAGTTGAATTCATCCTCTGGAGTTTTCACCTCTTCAGAAGGTTTGTTTTGTGTAGTTTCTAAGAATACTTCTATTATGGGAAGATTTGTGTTAAGTTGATTCAGGGGAGCAGACAATTGTGGAGCCTTTTTAATGGACAACAAAAGATTGTTGAGTAATTAGATTTCTTTTTCCCTTGTACTGTTCCATGGTTTTAAAAATACTTTGCTGAGCATGCAAAATCAATTTCCATTACCAGCCTTGACCTTTGCAGTGCTATAAACATGTTTTTTCCCCTGGGTTTGGAATGTGGTTCAAAGGCGGTGGTACAAGACTGGAAGATAAGGCAGGTTCTTTTAACGAAAGTTCTGTTACAGGGAAAAAAATCTTTTTCACAGCATTCTTTCAACTGTGTCATGAATATCATTTTATATACATATATATACTCTTCTATGTTTATGCTGATTATGTACATGTATGTTTACATCAGAGTATATAAATATGAATATTTACTTATAATTGATAAATCGTAATTATATAATTTAGGGAGCTTATGTCTATATTTGTATACCATGTGGAATGGTTAGCTAGTTAGCGTATCTATCACTTCACTTGTTTATAATTTTTTGTGGTGAGACATTTGAAGTTTATAAAGTTATTCTGAAATATGGAATACATCATTATCTGTTATTGATTATAGTTACTTTGCCTTTCATAGGTCTCAAAGTTTATTCCTAACTGTAACTATACTCTTTGATTAATAGCTTTCTCCTCACCCTCAAATATGTGTATTTATAAGTCCTGATATCTATTTTTTTTTCTGCTTTGCAGTACAGATCTATGCTTTGTTTTCACTGCTAAATGGTGAAAACATTTCCAAGAAAGTAGCCAAGCCATTGTGTTCTTTTGCCCCAGGGGTTTTGTGTTGCTGAAGGGAAAGCCCAGGTTGCCATAGGACAGCCTCATTTTATTTTTGTTTTGTCTTATTTTGGATGATTAGATCCATTGTGTTAAGGATGCTGGAGCACTCAGAGTAGAAGAGAAGATGAGTTCTTTTAGCAAGTTCTCAGAGGTAGAGACAGAATGGACTGGGACAAAGAAGGAAGAGGGTTTGCATGGTTTCCAAGGACGGTATAAAGGTCCTGCCTGCCAACTCCAACTGGCAATGGATTAATACTAGATCCTGGGAACTAGGACCCTAGGGTCTGGGGTTTTAAGATCTTCTGGGACAAAAGACCCCCAACTGTTGTCCAAGCTTATCAGAAGTACTACTTCCTTCAGATACCAGTTCTTGCTAGACAAACACATTTGTGTCCTACCCTGTCAAAACAATAAAGTCATAAAGTAGAGAGGTTTGAGTGGTGGCAATTTGCCAGATATTCCTGCTTTCTTTGGTAGCCCTGGTCAAGGGGAGCTCAGATTCTTTTATCCCAATCTTAATTATTGATATTAATTTTCAGAGCACATGTTATATATAGTAAATATATCTTTCTATATGCATATATGTAGGCTACAGAATGAGTACAAAGAGTTAAAGAGGCCACAGCAGAGTTCAAGAGGTTTTAGAAGTCTGAGCAGCAGGGAAGCTGATAGAAATGCAAAATGAGTCTGGATTGATAAGGTGACCAAAACAACTGAGCTGCCAAAGAATCTGAGGAGGCAAATTCAGCTACTGACTGCTGGCTGTACAGTCAGTCTGCAGGGGGCACAGACTGGGTCCAGATGAATGAACAGACGAATGGATGAACAGCAGGTAAAGTAGGCAAATAGGGAGGGCAGACAGTTTTTGAGTAGACCTTGTCAAGAGCAGGGACTGAACTGAACTGAAGCCCCAGGAGACTTGGGAGTTGGTTCCTTGATGCACACACAGGGTCAGATGACAGTCAGTAGGGGATTTGGCTATCACAAGGCTAACTGTGAACCACTTTATATCATCCAAGTGAGAGAATTATACCCTTTCTTTTGTTTGGTAAGTCTGATAAGTTCTTGTATCTGGTGTCCTCACAGTCCCAATTCACTATGACAAATTTATAGACTTCCATTCTTTCTAGTCCAAGAATAAATCATTTATCAGCCTGTGCTGTGGGTGTGGTGCTTGACAGGTGGTGCTGTTTACAAATTCACCCAGGTGCAAAGTCATCCTCCATCTTCAAAACTGAGTTAAAAGCAGCTGGTAAACTGGAGTCTCTCAGGACAAGGTACATTCTGAGAGACCACTGTTTAAATGATGTGAAGTAACTTAGGGTAGGGCACAACCTGATTTCAGCACTAATAAGCTTATCAGTAGGGATCAATTGGGACCTTACTCCTTCCTTTCAGTATTCTGGACTGCAAAAGATATCAGCATCACTGATTTTTGCATCACCTGGAAATGGGAGTAGAGGCAGGAAGTCCACAAATGATTGAAATAGAATTTCCTGCCAGTTGATTGTTGCTTTAAGCAGCTTAAACTAATAAACAAGATGATCCTTATGCTCAAGGATGAGGTGAATTTTTTCACTGCTTTCTCTTTCCTTCACCATTTCTTCTTTGCAAAATGGTAGCTGTTATTTTCATTGTGCTGGAGTATAGTATAATTGCTACTGGAAGGAAAAAATAATCATCAGCCTTACCCAGCTGTGAATCCTGTGAACTACAACTGGTCTGGTAAGATATACCCATTGGTGCAATAGTGGCATGAATATTATGGGAGTAACCAAGCACTTTCTACTTGGATTTAAGGTCTGCTTCACAAGGTGCAGTCCATACCTGACATTTTTATCAGGCTTAGGAGTCTGAGGCTAGACAAGTCACAGGACATAAGGGAGAACCTAATACCAGTTTTCTCCTAGTTATCATGTTAAACTGACTCCTAATGACTTATTATATCCATAGATAAATGTATTCTCAACTCTCATTAGAGAAGTTTCCTTATGCAGCATAGTGATTAACACAGAAACCCACAACTGCCTAGAGTGCAGTGAACAAGAGGCTACAGAGTGCTTATCCATGCTTATTATCGGACTTCTGCATCCCAAGGCTCAGGGATCATTGCAGGAGAGGGTGAAAAGATTGTAGGAGCCAGAGGTGGTGAATGACCACAAGGAAACAGAGTTTTCCAGACAGCTGGTCAGTTACTCATATGAACTCACAGCAATGGTGACAGTATACACAAGTCTAGTGCAAGCTCAAACCAGACAAACTCCCAGTAGACATGGGAAAGTGGGTAGGAAATTCCAACCCAACCTAAGGAAATTTTGACAACCCATAGCTGCTGGGATGGGGGGAGCCAGTCTCTTTCAAGGATGGGACTCTTGATTCCAGTAGTTAGACCCTCACTGAAGGACATTGGAGACACAAATTGGGCTCTGTAGGCATATATATATATATATATATATATGCACACTAAATTAGAAAATTGGGTAGGGGCAAAAAGGGAAGTGCAGATAGGGAAGGAAATATACATACCATCAAATTATATTGTATGAAAATTACAATTCAATTTAAAATGTTAAAAATACAAAAATGGTAGCTATTTAAACTCATCTTGCTGAATTTTTCTCAGCATTAAATATGACAACCCATATAAAACAGCTTCATTATAGTAGTATTTGTTCAATAAAATGTCATAAGGAACCATGTGTATGTGTCTATAGTGTTGTAAGAATGGAATTAAGGGGCTGAACAGATGATTCAGCATCATTAGTAAGAGTGCTTGCTGCTCTTGCAGAGGACCCAAGTTGGGTTCCTAGCACATATGTTGGGCAGCTCACAACTGCCTGTAATGCCAGCTCCAGGAGATCTGACATCTTCTTCTGTACTCTGAGGGCACCTGAACTCATATGCACTTGACCTCCCCATATGTGGGAGACAGGCTTGAGCCTAGAGTGAAAGTCTTATTGACAGCCATACAGCAGGCCTGAGCCACAAGGAACACCTTGTGACATTTGCTCCCATTGGCAGATCATGAGACTGATGCCTAGAGCTCACCACTCCCTAATCACCACCCTTGGAATCCAAAATTGCAACACTTGGATATTGCAACAGTCAGGGTCGCATGGTTTCCAGGAATCCAGGCTCTGTAACCTCAAACCCATTATGCTAATGAGGCATCCTACCCCCTATTCTGTGATAGGACGCTAAACCTGTTATGCTAATAAGGTATCCTACTTGCTGTGCTGTGATTGGATCACTACCCCTATATAAGCTTGTGCCTTCCTGTAATAAAGCAGATCTGTGTCACTGAACCTGATCTGAATGCAATGATGCTGGTGCAGACTCCTCACCAGCCCTGGGGTCTGGACTGGATGACTGATCAGAGGAACTGAGAGAGCAGGAGAGTGACCATAGCTGGAGGAGAACAGCCACAGCTGGCGACCACACCCATATATAATACATTATATATTTATACACATACATAATTAAATATAAAAATAAGTCAATTCGTGCTTGCTATAGCAAGAAAGTTTAATCTATTCCAGTGTTCTCTTCTCCATGAGACACCCTGTTATACAGGCTCAAACAATTCAAAATAAATAAATAAATAATAAATAAATAAATAAATAAATAAATAATAAGTCTTTAAAAAGAGTGGAATCTGCTACTAGGTTTTCAAAGACGCATGAGATATGCCTTTAGTTTGCAAGGATTTTATAATTGGAGAAACAAAGTAACTGTCTAGAATTATCAGAATTATTAGGTTTATGTCTTTCAGCAAGAAGTGTAAGTATGTGAATCATGAGAGTAGCCACAGGGAAACTGAATGAAAGGGTTTAGAGGAGTCGTGATGGAGCACAGAAAAGCTATGGGAATCAGAAGTGACACCATGCAGGCTGGGAGGAATTTGAGTAAGATGCTATCATTAGGAAATTTTCTCTGAATCATAAGTAGTCATTCACAACACTTGGATAACACGTTTTTCTTCCTGTGTCTCTTTTTTTCCATTTAATGTTCTTTAAAAATCAAAATTATAGGCACACAAAGTTTGAAGAATAAAATAACAGCATGGCACAAAACTAGAATTCCTTTAGTTGTCTTATTCATTTCTCTTTGTTTCAATTCAGCCACTTTAAACTCTTTTATGTCCCCCACTTAGGGGCATTGTCTTTGTGTTTCCAAATAATGTTAATATTTCTAATATTATTTTATATTAATATATTAATATTTCTTTTCTTTATTTTTAAACAACATTAAA